CCTATGAAAAAGAAGGGACTAAGAAGCCAGCCTATATTTAACAAATTTAAATATGAGAAGAGAAGAGACCGCCTCCTGCCAATTACCTCCCTGCGACCAATTAGATCCCACAGATTAGGCCTCCTCCGGATTCCATCTGCTAGCCAATGACGACTGTCGACCACCCGGAGGAGGGCCTTCTCTGTGGCTGCTCCGGCCCTCTGGAACGATCTCCCCGTGGAGATTCAGACCCTCACCACCCTTTTCGCAAAGCCGTTAAGACCTGGCTGTTCCGGCAGGCCTGGGGCTGATGAGTTCCCAACCCCACTCGAATTGTGTGGCTGTTGAGAGTTTTTAAATCCATTTTCTGTATTTTGTTTTTTTGTCTTGTTTTGTTTTCTTTGTATTGTCCCCATTCCCATTTGGTTTGTTAGCCGCCCTGAGTCCCTCTGGGAATAGGGCAGCATACAAGTTTAATAAACTGAAACTGAAAGTGAAACTTGTCATTGATCAAGACATAGGAGATGGCTGAAAATCACTGTTCTTTTCTTTGAATTCAATTAATCTCCAGAATATGCAGTTGAAATGAGATGGGGAATAATAATACTTACTCTCATTAATAGTGACATTTGATATGGGAGAATCAGGTGAAGGAGTAAAAGAAGCATAAGTACCACTGTATTCTTCATCATAGCTGCTACAACAGCAACAACTTTCACTTGGGATGGTTGAATACATAAATTCTGAAAAAATTAACAGGATTTTTTGATGAAAAAACTCAAATCAAACATTATTGTTCCCTTCCCACTTTACATCAGAACCATTCAGCATTAACCTTCCCCTGCCCCAAGTATTTTAGAAATATATAAATACAAAGAGGAAAAAATATTATATTATATGCAGTATTTATCATTTATCTGCTGTACAGCTGTGGTACAAAGAATATAATGGCTGAACACTATCAAAGTTGATACCCGGCAGAGCATAGAAAAATTCAAAGAAATAGTGTAAGACTGGAAGATGTGGAGAGACCTGGCTCATCGAATTCTTCATCGCTGAAATCTCTTGAATGATCATCATCATTAGGTGGTTTCAAAGTCACCTCATTGAAAGTGTCTGCAAGGCAAGAAAAGAGGAAAGTGACAAAATGAATAAGAATACCTTATGCCACCAGGCTTGAAATTTTGGGCTTGGAGAACCTAGAACTACGCCGCCTATGGTCTGACCTAAATGTAGTACACAAAATTGTCTGCTACATTGTCCTACCTGTCAATGACTTCTCCAGCTTCAATTTCAATAATACACGGGCAAACAATAGCTACAAACTCAAGGTAAGCCGCTTCAAACTCGATTGCAGAAAATACGACTTCGGCAACAGAGTGGTAAACACCTGGAATTCTCTACCTGACTCCATTGTTACATCCTTTAAGTCCCACAGTTTCAACCTTAAATTGTCTACTGTGGACCTCACCCCATTCCTAAGAGGGGGCGTGCATAAGCACACCATCGTGCTTACTGTCCCTTTCCCACTGTCCCCATTTACTTGTACTCATTCCTTGTTCATGCTCATGTTTGTACTTATACCTGTTATTTTGTACATGTGTGACAAATTAAATAAATAAAGTAAATAAATAAATAGAATATAATAACTGGACACTATCAAAGTTGATACCCGACAGAGCATAGAACAACTCAAAGAAATAGTGCAAGACTGGAACATGTGGAGAGACCTGGCTCATAGAATTGTTTGTAGCTGAACTTTACTGAATTATCTTTATCATCATCAAAATCAAGTGGTACCAAAAGCATTCTCTTCAAAGGGTCTGCAAGGCAAGAAAAGAGGAAAGTGACAAAATCTGTATTGCAATATCATAATGCCAGCTTTGTCCCTTATATTATTTGCCTCAGGTACAAAGAGATGAAGATTGCATCATGATGACACCACAGGTTATCTCATTTTGCATTGTTTGGTTAGAACATCTGTGCCAGTGATATGTAAGCAAAGGAAGCAGATCAATGGTGGGTTTCAAATTTTTTTAGAATCTATTCTGTAGGTGTGGCCTGGGAGTGGCTTGGTGGTCATGTGACTGAGTGGGAATAGCTTGGCAGTCATGTGACTGGGTTGGAGTGGCCAAGTCAATGAATTCTTTGCCCCAAAGAATGACCTACAAAAAGAAGATGTAAAAAAGGAAATTTATTATTTTGTGCACTTACTACTTAAATAAGAATAAAATAAGTACACAAAACAATAAAACAACTATTTACAGAGGAAATATGGCTGTCCTTACCTCCACTAGACCGATAAGATCGCATAGATTAGGCCTCCTCCGAATTCCATCANCGGCAGAAGAGGAATGTGACAATACACAGGAAGAGACAGATGACTGAGATGGACAACCCAAGGTAGCTAATAATAGTGAGGATCAGATCTCCCTGGAAAGAGAAGTTCTCAACATTAGATGAGCCACCTTTTGATAAGAAAGTTATCTTTACATTTTGTCTAGACCATAGATCTGGCTTACATATAAAAGCTGTTTTAATACCCGACTGCTTTTGTTGTATGATTGGAAATGAAGCATCAGGATCTTTAAATCTTGAGGATTACAAGCATTTCTTAGTTTCTGTACTGTATATAAGAGGAGTGGCTATTAATAATTATGGAAAAATTTTCAGTTGAGTAGAAAAATTCTATTCTATCCCAACTTCAATGATAAAAATTATCTTCCTTGACAAGGGCAGGACACAAGAGATATTTGAATAAGTAACAAAAAACATGTTGTTTATCAAGATCCAGTTCTTAGATGTTTTCAGAAATTACGTACTTGTTTGTGACCTGTGGCCATCAGTACAGCAAAACTGGACAGATATTGACAGCTACATTCTGTATGGGTGATGTTAGAAAAGATCTGTTGGCAACCATGACTGGACAAGGCACCAGAAATCCATTGGACACAGAGAACCTTTTCCTGAGCAACTCTATTCTGCAAGAGGAAAGTAACACTGACGGGAGGTAGGAAGAAAATCTACATATTTACTTTACACTCTACTTCAGAGTTATTGAATATTAATAAGGAATCAAGCGTAAGACGAGCTAAAAGAACAATGTATACATCATAGACGTTTTGGTGAGCAGATACTGTAGTGACATGTTAATCTATGGTGGCAATAAATCAAAAAGATTTTGGTAGCACTATTTCCAATAACAAATATTATTAAAAGACATATGTTTTAATGAGCGGCAGTCCACAGATTTATGGTTTTTAAAAAAATAAAAGGTGCTATCAGATTTGTCTTGAATGACAATAAGGTCTACTGAAAGCAATTATTCAACTTTACATTTTCCTCAATATTCTGATTTTTTTTCTTAATTTATATTCATAAGATGGATAGAAAAAGAGGATTGGTTTCCTCTTCATTTACATACCCTGAGATGCTGAAAGGTGAGATTGACGGGAGTAGAAATATCTGTTGTGTGGTTGCTGGTGAAAACGCTCACTAGTCTAGAGTTCATATTGAAACCTGTCAATGTTTCATTGCCCAGGAATGTTCCATTCTGCACTAAAGTCTCTTCTAGGAGTGATTTCAGCCCAACATATGATATAAAAGCCACAGCAATTGGATCTGCAAGTGGCAGGAGGAAGATCAGAGAGCAAGATAACATCACATAAAGAGTATGTATTTTCTCGAACCTGGCAAAATCTTGATAATGAAAGGATCAATGTAGAACCATATATTTAAGTAAAGGTAAAAGTTCCCCTCACAAATATGTGCTAGTTGTTCCTGACTCTAGGGGGCAGTGCTCATTTCAGTTTCAAAGCCGAAGAGCCAGCATTGTCCGAAGATGTCTCCGTGGTCATGTGGCTGGCATGACTAAATGCCAAAGGTGCACGGAATGCTGTTACCTTCCTACCAAGATGGTCCCTATTTTTGTACTTGCATNGTTATAATTACAGTAATAGACCAGTAAGATTACCTAAAAGTGTTTAATTTTCCATCAATAAATAATACAGTAGTTATTAACATTGCATTGGCCTCTAGTGGTCAAAGACCATATCTGAAGATGTATTCAATTGGAAAAATAGTTGGGATTAGAAAAAAAGGATCTCATAGCTGATTTATACACTGGTAAAGGTAAAGGTTCCCTTCGCACATATGTGCTAGTTGTTCCTGACTCTAGGAGATGGTGCTCATCTCTGTTTCAAAGCCGAAGAGCCAGCACTGTTTGAAGACGTCTGTGATCATGTGGCCAGCATGACTGAATGCTGAAGGCACATGGAACATTGTTACCTTCCTACCAAAGGTGGTCCCTATTTTTGTACTTGCATTTTTACATGCTTTTGAACTGCTAGGTTGGCAGAAGCTGGGACAAGTAATGGGAGCTCACTCCATTATGCGGTACTAAGGATTTGAAATGCCAACCTTCGGATCGACAAGCTCAGCATCTTAGCCACTGAGCCACTGCATCCCATTTATACACCAAGAGTCTTACAAATGAGAAACTTTCCCAAAGGCTTCAACATTTATAGGCGGCCTATAAATTCATTAAATGAATGAATGAATAAATGAATGAACAGATTGTCAATTAATATAGGAATTAAGCATTATCATGGGCATACCATAGCCATTTATATAACATATAAACAGCATACTTCTCATTTTCTCAGCACCATATTAAGAAACTGACTTGTTAAATGGATCACCTGATTCTAACATTTTATGAGACTAGAAAACTAAAAAATTAATAGCTACTTACAGGCCTTTGGCAAAACTCTTAATTCTTTTACTTTACTGAATCTATATAAATTGAGTTTTCACACTGCATTAAGCCATACTATACCTTTCTGGAGAAAGCACAATTGGTTTAATTCATATTATATGCTAATCATAAATCATAGTTTACTAACCACATGGTTGCATTCAGACAATATGATTTTCCAAATATTAAAAATAAAACCTATATTATAGTTTTGCACAACATGCGAACCTAGTGTGGGAGTAAACACATGAATCTGCTACATATTGCTATTCCATGTAAGGTTGTAACAGTTGGAGCAATAGTTAAATTTGCTGTATTAAAAAGAAGGAGACTGTGGTTTTAATCCTGCCTTTAGCATGGAAGCCAGATGGCTGATTTTAGGACAGTCTCTCTTGGCACTAGGAGGAAGGCAATGGTAAGAAGCCAGCTTGATGTTGTCGTTAAGGTGTTGACCCAGAAACCAGGAGGTTATGACCTCTAGTGGTATCTTACGCATGAAAACTGGAGACTTTGGATCAGTCACACGCTCTTAGTCCAATTTACCTCACAGGGTTATTGTGGGGAAATAGGAGGAAAGAGCATTGGTTCATTCACAGCATTGAATTTTATATGAAAAAAGGCAGAATAAAAAAAAAATCACATCCAAAAATACTGCCAGGAAAACTGTGTGAAGCCGAGACTGATTTGATGGCAAAAATATAATAATAACTTAACCAAGCTATTTGGGATTTAGCTGCTTGGAATAAATGGGCTGAATTTATGCTAAATCTCACTCTTCCCTGCCCAAGAATGACTTAAAATGGATGAATTTGAGATTTGCACTGGTTAAATGTGTTGACAATAAAAGGCAACGGAGGCCTAATTTTATGCCGGCATTGGGAGCATTTCCTTCATCTGGTTTTAAGATTTAAACCAGGGGTCTCCAACCATGGCAACTTTAAGACTTGTGGACTTCAGCTCCCAGAATTCCTCAGCCCAACAAAGCTGGGAGTTGAAGTCCACAAGTCTTAAAGTTGCCACGGTTAGAGACATCTGGTTTAAACAGCATCAATTTACAAGATCTTCTCTAAATGGTCTGAAAACAAAATAAAAAAAATGAAACATGGGCAACAGTCAGTATCCTGTCAATAATCCATACCTGGTTGTACTGTTTTATTTTCTCCATGGGAACTTCCAGTTCCGACTGAAGTCAGCCTGTATGTAGTCCAAGAAATCAACATATTTCTGACACATATCTTGAGACCTTGACATGGAACGCTCACATTTTTCCTTGCCTGAAGGAGAAATTACAAAAATAGCGACTGGGTGGATAAGGGTCAATAGTTTGATCCACATGAGCGTTGATTCCTCTGATTTGATTTTCAAAACTTTCCTCTAGAGTGTAGACTAAGGCTGCAGCCACCATCACTACTGTGGTCTGGAAATCATGTCAACAAGCCCAGAGCTGAAAGATTATGTGAGACCTCAATTTAAGTCTATCTCTCTTTATTGTGTGTGTGTCAGGGTGGGGGTGGGGAGGTGGGATTGATTATTTGCCTCTCCTACTCTTATTTCTGTGCTTAAAGAGGTTATTTAATACTTGTCCTCTTGATGCAAGAGGACAAGTACTAAATAACCTCTTGAAGCTACTCTGTATGTGAAAGTCAGCATGCTTTATTTGTTCATGGTGCTTGTCCAAAGCGAGTCCTTAGTTATATTTCAATTATGGTATTACTTTTGGAAAAACTCAAGTTTTGCATCTTTGTAATTTAGAGGTCAGGTTTGCAATGGTTTAGTCTTCTGTTCTTCTGTATTGATAGGCAATGGATACATGTGATTTAAAAATCCCAGAAAAATCAGAAGAACAGATGGCTATGTGTCACCATCATTTCCAGATATATCTGCCTTGCAGATTTATTTATGATGTGTTTGGGTAAAGGAAGCAGCCTGTGGCAGATGCGTACGTAGATTTATCTGGATAACAAATATTTCTATTGACCTTTTAAGAGGAAGTTTCTATAGATAAGATGTTTCTCTGGATCAGTATAACAAAGTTGAAGTGTGGATATCACTATCCTAAGTATTTTTTTTCAACAGCTGTTCATTGAATTTGATTAGGCTTTCTCTACTTCTACAATTCTACAATCAGTAAAACTCAAACATAATGCAGTAGTAAGGTGGACACTATGTTTGCCATTCCCTTCTTTTAAAAATATTCATTGAATTTTTGGTGTTAGTCTGACCTTTGTGTATTTGCTTTCAGTATATACTTGACATCCAACAAGGCATTTATTTTATTGTTATTGTTTTTAAAGTCAGTTGTATATTTTTGTAATTTAGAGTTGAATTAAATAGCTCTTAAGAAAAATATATCTGTATCTACCTACCTATAATATGTGTGTGTGTGTATGTGTATGTGTGAATAATGCCAGGCTGCTAATCATTTAAATCTAAATTCTAAATACACATCTGTTGTCTTCTGAGGGTTCTACCATCTTGTATGGGAAAGATTCCCAGAAGATTGAAATAAAAATGAGATGATACGAAAAGGAGAGGTTTTTGTAATTATAATTAGAAGTGAAAGAAGACACCACAGAAGCAAACCACAAATTCCAGTGCAGTCTTTCCTATGAGACAGTTTTATACCCATGGTATTTGTTTCAGATTTTTGCTATTGTCCAGTGTACATCTGGATTAGAAATATTCCTTTAAAGAGAAATATATTAATTTTGTTCCTTCCATCTTAATTAATCTCCTAAAAACCGCTTAGATGGCTACTGGGCATGTAATGATCATTTGAAAAATCTATCATTAACGGTCTGGCTGCCAATCAACTTCTGATCAACTGCAGCCACCATAATTACCAAATTTATTTATGTTTGCAGCTACAGGAGGAGACAGTGTGTGATTTATAAAAGCACTTGGAGTGGTGTGCATATAGCTCTCTATCTTACCATCTTCCCAGTTCTCTGTGAGCTGGGAAGAATCAGAACTTTGAAGAATTGGTTACATGTAAGAAAAGATAGCATTAAAGCACAATAAGTATTCACTGAAGTCAAATAAATCATGATGGCACAATAAAAGAGGGACTAAATGAATTTTAAAAAGTGTGGCTGCAGAGACTTTTCTTGCAGCCTCTTTTGAATTTATTTTACTTCTGACTATCACAGAAGCTTACTTCCATGCCAATTCTACAATGTCTTCATCTGACTTAAATGAACATGACTCTCGCTGTCAAGAAATGACAAATGTGGTTCTCCATTTCAATGATAAATGTGCATGATTGAAACAACTTTTTAATTTTTGTTAATATTAATTTTGTTTGGCCGCATGCAAATGTTCAATGCTTTTAACTGTTCGAAGACTTCACATTTATGGAACTTACATGTATTTCCTCCAAAGAGGAAAGGAAAATGTGAAATGACATGTAAAACAGCTGGTATGTATACTGCAGGAAAGAAGAGGTCTATAATTGACTCAGCATGACTGTATACATGTCTACTCAATTAACCCCATAGATAAAAATGTATAAAACTGTAACCTGAGAAGAAATGACCAGATGACTCAAATAATTGAGCAGAAACAAGGACAGGAGTAGAGATTATGGAAGGACTGAGAAAAGCAGACATGAATGAGTGTGGTGGGCTGTAGGCTAAATTTCTGCATCTTTCCTCTACCTTTCGTCTATCTTTCCAACAGGCAGGATATAAAAAAAGTCAGATAGTGACCAATGTGATCAAAACCCACCCCAATTTTATTTGCATTATCAAGCATTATATATAAGGTTGGATTAATTCTTTGAAAAGGCTCATCGAAATCATTAAGATGATAATTAACCAGTTTCAATTATTTCAGTGAGAACACTTAAGAATATACTATATCCTACATATGATCTCAATTATTTCATTAATTATTATGCTTATATTTTGTTCTGCCAGATATTTAATCTGGATTTAGCATTTTTATCCACATATTGAGTTCTTCCCAAACACCAGGGATATGCAAGTATGGGATCAGTACAGTGGTGGGTTTCAATTTTTTTTAGAAACTCTTCTGTAGATGTGGCCTGCTTTGTGGGAGTGGCTTGGCAGTCATGTGACTGGGTGGACGTGGCCAACCTGTAAAATGTGGTGAAACTCACTTAACAACACTCTTGCTTAGCAACCAAAATGTTGGCTCAGAAACTCTAGCATTTGAAGCACACAAGTCTTAAAACTGTCAAGTTACAAGACCCTTGCACCCCTAATCCTTTAGAAAAAAAACCCAGGGGTGTTCAAACTTGACAGCTTTAAGACTTGTGGACTTCAACTCCCAGAATTCCTCCTCTCGCTCTTCATCTTGATGATGTATGGATGGGTGGGGGGTGGGAGCTGGAACTGGTTCTAAACGGCACTGTAGATTTGTGGAACCTCTTCTATGTTAGAACTGGCAGGAACCCACCCCTGGATCAGTAGCACTGAAAGACTAAGAAGAAACAACAGGAAACAGTTCATTGAAAATGCTGTGTCAGTCAGCCAGTCAAGGTGCTATGTCAGTCATTGCCTCTATTAATTCAACTTTGGCACTGTTGTAATTCTTCCAGACCTTTCCATCTGCTCCATCTGGACTGGCAGTTATTAAAATAATGTGTGAGAATCAGGCAGCATTACAAGGTAGCCTGTTTTTGAAAAGAAATGATACACAATTCACAGATTCTTATATTAGGAAGCCACTGATATCCAAGCAAACAAGGAAGAAACCAGAGTGATAGATTACGAAAATGAATCAGAATGTTAGGTGACAGAAAAGGAAGCCTATTTATTTAAGAATGTCACAAGATATCAGAAAGTAAAAATAAACATCTTGAAAACCAAAATTATGTTATTTAAAGAGAGGGGAGAAGAGTTACACAGTGTGGGCATGATATAGCAGTCAGTCTGCATTGGTAGGCAATGTCCCTTAATTCTGTCAAGGTGTGAGCGTTCAATACATTTTTTTCTTTTCTTGAGAAAAGTTTTCATCTGTGATATTCAAGGAATCTATACTCCCATTCCCTGTGACTGCCCTAGTTAGTATTTTTTCTATCTCTCTAGGCAAGACTTGTCTTTCTTCGTTTTCTGTCTCCCTGTGGTAGAAATAATTAAAATTGGACACAATGACTGGCACAGGCAGTGCAATGGTGAGCACCCCTGCTATAGCACACAGAGTCCCCACTATCTTTCCCCCCGGGGTGGTAGGGCACATGTCTCCATAGCCAACAGTCGTCATGGTGACCACAGCCCACCAGAAGCCATCAGGTATGCTGGAGAAATGTGACTGTGGTTCATCCACCTCTGCAAAGTAGATGGCACTAGAAAACAAGATGACTCCTATGAAGAGAAAGAAGACGAGCAAGCCAAGTTCCCTCATGCTGGCCTTGAGAGTCTGTCCTAAGATTTGTAGCCCCTTGGAGTGCCGAGAAAGCTTGAAGATGCGGAATACCCTGACCAGGCGGATAATCCTGAGGATGGCCAAAGACATATTCTGCTGGCCATTCAGCTCACTATGTTGAATCAGCTCGGTAGTAAGGGTCACGAAATATGGAATGATGGATACAATATCAATGATATTCATAATATTTTTGAAGAACTCGGTTTTGCTGGGGCAAACAATGAATCTGACCACTAGTTCAAAAGAGAACCAAATGATGCAAGCAGTCTCTATTATGAAGAAAGGATCTGTGAAAGTATTAGATGCCATAACAACGTTGGTTACATTATTACTTTCGTACTTTAGCTCCTTCTCATCTCTGAATTCAGGTAAAGTCTCTACACAGAAAATAATAATAGAAATGACAATGACCAAAACTGAGACCAAAGCCACACCCCTGGCTGCACTTGAGCTTTCAGGGTACTCAAAGAGCAACCAGAACTGTCTATGAAAGTCATTGGATGGCAAAAGGGTGATAGGATCCTTAATGTAGCCTTCATCTTCTCTGAACTGATCCATCGCTTCTTCACCAAGTTCATAGAAAGTGATCTCATCAGCAAAGATATCTATAGGAACATTAGCTGGTCTCCGAATTTTACCTCCAGACTGATAGTAATACAGTATTCCATCAAAACTGGGCCTATTCCTGTCAAAGAAGTACTCATTTCTCATGGAATCAAAGTAATGTATTCTTTTCTCAGGATCTCCAAGTAGGGTATCTGGAAACTGATGAAGTGTCTTGAGCTGCGTCTCAAATTTCAGCCCAGCAATGTTGATTATTACCCTCTGATCACCCTCATCCATGCCCCCGTTCTCAGCCCCCAAGTGGTCACAGAACTCAGCAGACAATTTGGAGAATATTGTCTCATTGTTGGTGTTCTCATTGTTGATGAGTATTCTCCAGTTAGACAGAAGGCTGGCACAGCTGGAACGCCCTTTGTGCAATTGCTCAGCAGCATTGAGGTCACTTGAAAAACA